TTTGTTTTGTTTGAGACGGAGTATCACTCTGTCGCCCAGGCTAGAGTGCAGTGGCGCGATCTCGGCTCACTGCAAGCTCCACCTCCCGGGTTCACATTGTTCTCCTGCCTCAGCCTCCTGAGTAGCTGGGACTACAGGCGCCCACCACCACGCCCAGCTAACTTTTTTTGTATTTTTTCGTAGAGACAGGGTTTCACCGTGTTAGCCAGGATGGTCTCAATCTCCTGACCTCGTGATCTGCCCGCCTTGGTCTCCCAAAGTGCTGGGATTACAGGCATAAGCCACCCTGCCCAGCTGAACCATGGAAAGTTTTAATCTGGTTGGTGGCATGGTCAGATTCACGTGGTGCAAAGATTGTCCAGCTGCTGTGTGGGGATGAGCTGAGGGCAGCAGGGAGGCGTGCTGGACCTCCCCAGGTGTGTGTAGGGCAGTGAGTGTGACCACTTAAGAGGCCTGCATTGGGTCGGGCGCAGTGGCTCTCACCTATAATCCCAGCACTTCGGGAGGCCGAGGCAGGTGGATCACCTGAGGTTAGGAGTTCGAGACCAGCCTGACCAATATGGTGAAACCCTGTCTCTACTAAAAATACAAAAATTAGCTGGGCATGGTGGCAGGCGCCTGTAGTCTCAGCTATTCAGGAGGCTGAGGCAGAACGAATCTCTTGAACCCAGGAGGCGGGCGTTGCAGTGAGCTGAGATCCTGCCACTGCACTCCAGCCTAGGTGACAGAGCCAGACTCCATCTCAAAAAAAAAAAAAAAAAAAAAGGCCTGCATTGAAGGGTAGGATCAGTGAGGTTGACATGTAAACATCTCCAGATAGTGTCTGAAAGGTCAGGTAGCCCATAGATCTCATACGACTTTTCCAGGTAGGATAGGAGTGCACAGAGGCCCCCAAGGAGAGCTAGGTGGGTAGCCAGGGCCTGCCTGAGCCCCCTAGGATTTGAAGTGCTAGGCAGGGAAACTGAGGCCAGAGCCCAGGCTAAGCCGGCATGTTCAGCAGTGGGGGTTGCAGCTCAGGGTTCACCCCATGAAGCCACTGGTCTTCACCATGGATCCACACAGGGGTCTAAAGCTGCCTGGGTCCTGACCTGGCACTCTGGGTCCACGCAGCTACCCCCAGCGCAACCTGTGTGACTCCTAAGACTCTCCTGCTTAAGGGCCACAGTGGCTGCCCCATCAGGGGATCTCTGCAAGCATCAACTTCCTTCTGTCCCACTCCTTCCTTCCCTCTGAGCGGTCAGACCCCCTGACTGTGTGGGCCAGGAGGGGCTGGGGAGTTTCCTGAGAAGCCCTGGACTGTCCCCACCTCGGCCTGAGTCACACTGAGAACTCAGCAAGGATTCCTTGAGCATCTATGAGGTACTAGGCGCTCTTCTAGGCACAAGGGAGGCCACGGTGAATGAGGTATAAGCTCTGCCCTCATGGAGCTGGCATTCTAATTGGAGGGCTGGGAGGGACAGACACTGAACAAATACCCACCATATATGTGAGTCATGATAATTACACATGAGAAAACCTGAAGTGGGGAAGGAACATGGGGAGTCTGTATGTGTGTGTGTGTGTGCGCGCGCGCGTGTCTGTGTGTGTATCAGGGGTTGCAAATTCTAAATTGAGTGAACATGGGGTCTGAAGAGAACTGAGGAGGTGACAGAGCAAACTCTGTGGCTATCTAGGGAACAAAGATGCCAGCAGAGGCCATGAGCGGTGGCTCATGCCTATAATCCCAATACTTTGGGAGGCAGAGGCAAGAGGATCGCTTGAGCCCAGGAGTTCAAGACCAGCCTGGGCAACATGGTGAAACTCTGTCTGTACAAAAAGTACAAAAATTGGCCAGGCTTGGTGGCATGCACCTGTAGTTCCAGCTACTAGGGAGGCCGAGGTAGGAGGACCACTTGAGCCTGGGAGTTTGGGGTTACAATGAGTTTTGACCATGTCACTGCACTCCTGCCTATAACAGAGTGAGTGAGACCCTGTATAAAAAAAAAAAAAAAAATGAAAACAAAAAAATGCCAGCAGAGGGACCAGCAAGTGTGAAGGTCCTGGAGAGGAGCATGCATCCTGTGTTGAGGAACAGCAGGTGTGGCTGAGGCAGGGGAAGCGAAGGGGAGCCAAGCAGGACTGAGGTCGGAGAGGGCATGCTGGGGAGCACTTTCTTTTCTTTTTTGAGATGGAGTCTCACTGTGTTGTCCAGGCTGGAATGCAAGTGGTGTGATCTCGGCTCACTGCAACCTCCACCTCCCGGGGTCAAGTGATTCTTCTGCCTCAGCCTCCTGAGTAGCTGGGACTATGGGCGCCCGTCACTACGCCTGGCTAATTTTTGTATTTTTAGTAGAGACGGGGTTTCACCATGTTGGCCAGGCTGGTCTCGATCTCCTGACCTTGTGATCCACCCACCTTGGCCTCCCCAAAATGCTGGGATTACAGGTGTGAGCCACCGCGCCCGGCCACTGGGGATCACTTTCTGCAGCACATTGTGGGCCACGGTGACGACTCTGGCTTTACTCCAGTGAGCCGTGGGAAGGTCCTGAGAGAGGCGTGACATGAGCTGACTTAACACAGCTACCTGTGTCACCCAGGGGGAAAGTGAGGCACAGAGAGAGTGGCTAACCTACCAGAACCCCACAACTAGTGAGCGAGACCACCCCCAAAAGGCCCCAGGTGTGTCTGGCACCAAGGTCCATGTAGTTTTCATTTCTCCACCTTGTCCCTGGGAGACACCTCGGTCCTGCCAGAATGTGTCAGAGGCTGAGCCGACCTGTGAGGTCAGCCCTGCAGACAGCTCAAGGAACCAGGGCTTGGACCTGGCCTGTTGCCCTCTGCTGTCCACCAAACTGGGTAATGCTCTTTCCGATATGGCATGTGTTTATAGGATGCTACAGCTCAGATCACAAAACATCTTCCTTTATTTTCTTTTTACTTTTTTTTTTTTTTTTTTTTTGAGATAAAGTCTCGCTCTGTCACCCAGGCTGGAGTGCAGTGGCGTAGTCTCGGCTCACTGTAACCTCCACTTCCCATGTTCAAGCAATTCTCCTGCCTCAGCCTCTCGAATAGCTGGGACTACAGGCGTGCACCACCACACCTGGCTAATTTTTGTATTTTTGGTAGAGATGGAGTTTCGCCATGTTGGCCAGGCTGGTCTCAAACTCCTGAACTCAGGTGATCTGCCCGCCTCAGCCTCCTAAGTGCTGGGATTACAGGCTTGAGCCACTGCACCCAGCCTATCTTCCTTCATTTTCCTTGGCTTCTTATTACTGCCCCCTCCCCTTGGAGACAGATGAGAAAACTCACGTTCACAAGGAATGGCGGAGTAGATCCTATCAGCTAGGGACAGAGCAGACTGCTGCTTTATAGGGGCCTTTGGGAGTTGGTCCCCTTCTCCAGCCCAGAGCAATGACCACTGACCCTCCACGAGTTTTATTCACCTTTGTCTCCCCATTACCAACTACATGTTTGGCAAAGAGTAGCTGCTCAATAAATAGTTGTTGAAGGAGCATGCGGCTGTCAGGCGTGTGGGAGGGGGGATTAGGAGATGAGAGGCCCTCAGTGGTCTAGGGATGGCTGCCCCATCTGCCTAGGGCATGCTGAGTTAGTGTGGGGCAGTCCCCAGGCAGCTGGGAAAGCTTTTCCAAAACAGAGGTCTAGATGAAGGAGGCCTGGGGAGAGAGGGGACTGGCTGATATTGTATCTTATGGGGTGCCGGATGGGCTTTGTAAAAAGGCATTTACTGGCAGGGTGCGGTGGTTCAAGCCTGTAATCCCAGCACTTTGGGAGGCCAAGACGGGTGGATCCTCGCACGAGGTCAGGAGATCAAGACCATCCTGGCTAACACGGTGAAACCCCGTCTCTACTAAAAAAATACAAAAAAACTAGCCGGGCGAGGTGGCGGGCGCCTGTAGTCCCAGCTACTTGGGAGGCTAAGGCAGGAGAATGGTGTAAACCCAGGAGGCGGAACTTGCAGTGAGCTGAGATCCGGCCACTGCACTCCAGTCTGGGCGACAGAGCGAGACTCTGTCTCAAAAAAAAAAAAAAAAAAAAAAGAAGGCATTTACTGGTGCACATATGCTGTGTGTACTTTTCTGAATGTAGGTTATACTTTAAGAAAAGTTCTGAAAAATCAGCTGAGTACGGTGGCTCACACTGTAATCCCAACACTTTGGGAGGCCAAGGTGGGTGTATCACCTGAGGTCAGTAGTTTAAAACCAGCCTGGCCAAATGGCAAAACCCCATCTCTACTAAAAATACAAAAAATTAGCTGGGCATGGTGACAGGCACCTGTAATCCCAGCTACTTGGGAGGCTGAGGCAGGAGAATCACTTGAACCCGGGAGGTGAGCCGAGATCGCACGACTGCATTCCTGCCTGGGCGACAGAGTAAGACTGTCTCAAAAAAAGAAAAAAAGTTCTGAAAAATCAAATCAAAGGCACATGACCAAGCCCCATGTGGAAGAATGGTCAGGAGAGGGACATCTATTCATTTGGTGCACACTTACTGGGCCATCTACTATATACCAAGCACTTATTTAGGCATATTGATGCCATGGTGAGACAGGCAAGGCCTCTGCCTTCATGGGCTTCCGTTTTGGTGGAGGAGGAGTGGGAAGGAGAAACAAATCATAGATGAGGAACCAAGCACAAGAAATGCAGAAGAGGTGACTGTTACAAGGGTTAATAGGCAGGGTTATGTGATGTGACACAAAGAGGCGTTTAGCCGGAATGGTCAAAGAAGATCTCTTGAGGCGGTGACATTGGGCAAACACCTAAATGATGAGGAGTCACCATGGGGAGCTAGAACAGTAAAGAGAACAGCATGTGCACAGCTCCCGAGGCTGGAAGGAGCCATTCAAGGAGGCCTGTGGAGCAATGTGGAGAGAGGAAGGTGGCAGGTATGAATCAGTTCTAAGATAGCAGAGGCCTTGAATGGCAAGGTAGTGAGTTTGGATGTTATTCTAAATGGGAAAACAAAAACAAAACAAGGTGACTTTGACCTCCTTTCTACCCTAGGTCTGCGGCCCAGAAGGCACCTTCTGCAAACATGTCTGTGGATCCCCTATCCAGCAAAGCTCTAAAGGTAAGGAGGCAGCCTCTGTTAACCCATGAAGCCCTCCCTCCCTGCCCATGTAGAGCCTCGTCATCCCAACTTCCCCTTCTTTCCTGGAATCCCCTGGGTGGCTCAGCAGGCACCAGGCCTTCATGATGCCCAAGGGAAGGGCCACAGCCACAGGCTGGGACCAGGAGGCCTGGGCTCTGGTCACAGGCTGCATGTCCCTGGGGTAGGTCACTTCCCTCTCCATCCTCCTTCCCCATCGAGTCAATGCCCCCTGGTGCATTCAAAGGTGCTTTCCGGGCTGGGTTTCTCTGGCTGAGTCCAGGGCTTGGCGCTAGGTTAGAATTCAGGTTGAGCCCGGGGTGGCCTCCTTTTGTGTCCGGATCCTAGTTTGGCCTGGTTTCCCCTTCCCGGATTCCTGCTCCCCTTCAGGGTTTTGGATCAAGTCCAACCACCACCTCGGTGGCTAAGGCAGTGAAAGAGGAACACCGAGGTGTGGAGCGGGGCACCGTCCCCAGTCCCTGGGCCTCAGTTTCCCTATGCCCGCAGATCAAGCGAGAGCTGAGTGAGAACACGCCGCACCTGTCGGACGAGGCGCTGATGGGGCTGTCGGTGCGCGAGCTGAACCGGCACCTGCGCGGGCTCTCGGCCGAGGAGGTGACACGGCTCAAGCAGCGGCGCCGCACACTCAAAAACCGCGGCTACGCCGCCAGCTGCCGCGTGAAGCGCGTGTGCCAAAAGGAGGAGCTGCAGAAGCAGAAGTCGGAGCTGGAGCGCGAGGTGGACAAGCTGGCGCGCGAGAACGCCGCCATGCGCCTGGAGCTCGACGCGCTGCGCGGCAAGTGCGAGGCACTGCAGGGCTTCGCGCGCTCTGTGGCCGCAGCCCGCGGGCCCACCACGCTCGTGGCGCCAGCCAGCGTCATCACCATCGTCAAGTCCACCCCGGGCTCGGGGTCTGGCCCCGCCCCCGGAGCGGACCCCGCCCACGGCCCGGCCTCCTGCTCCTAGTGCCCGCCCCCGCCATGCCCCAGCCACGCCCCTCCGGCTCCAGCTCCCTCCCCAAAGTGCCTGAGCGCCGCCTCTGTGCCCAGGCCCCATTTCTCTGCAGCACTGGCCCCTTGGTGCACACACACTCCCTCCATGGGCCCTGTCTTCCTCTTGCAGCCCCCAAAACTGGGACCGCATGGCCCTGGGAAGGGGAACTTTGGTAGGATGGGGATGGGACAGAGGTCTGGATCTGGGATCGCCCTTGGCTGAAAGTTTAGCCTTTTTAGATTGAGAGATACAGAGCCGGCTCAGAGAACAGCTGTTGGGGGAGAAGAGGGCACCCCTCATCTTGGAAACTGCTCTGATTGTGCCAATATGTCCTCCAAACCCTCCCAGGATTCAGAGCTAGGTTTGGCTGGCTGTGACTTACAGGCCATCCTGCTGAGAAATTGCACTGAAGAGATGCCTCCACCTCTGGTTTAGGCCTGGGGGTGCCTGACCCTCCGAAACTAAGAGTGGGTAGGAAGACTAGTGAAACCCAGTTCACAGATGGGGAAACAGGCCCAAGGTCACATTTCACTTAGTGGTTGTGCTGGGACCAAAACCTGGGTTTCCTCACTGCTGCCCTAAGATTCATTCCAGCCATGGTTTTCAGGGGGACAGTGGACAGGGACTCAGAAAGGTGGTGGGAGGGCATCCCTGGCCTGGGAGACCGCTCGCTGCAAGGGAGGGGGAGAGAAGCAGAGGGAGAGAGAAGGTGACATGGATGGAAGAGTGGGAAGGAGCTGGCCTGGTTCAGCCCTAGGCTGTCCCTGCAGCCAGGGTGTCCAGGGGCTGGCCAGTCAGAGAAACGGGGCCATGGACTGCTGTGGCAAATAGGGAGACAAGGAGACAGACCCTGCAGTCCTACTGCAGCCTGGAGTGGGGTCCTAAGAAGAAGGGTACCACCTTGACCCCTGTCAGTGTCCACTGTGTGGTGGGGGCTGACCCCTGCCTTTGATTGTCATTCTCCTGGGAAGCCCAGCCTCAAGTCCCTCCCCCAACACTGTCCACACTGCCCCTCCCCACTGTTTATTTATTGCACGGATCTAAGTTATTCTCCCCAGCCAGAGCCTGAGCTCCTGTTCCCTGGGGAAAGTGGCGTATGGCCCTGAGCTGGACTTTATATTTTATATCTGCAAATAAATCACATTTTATCTTATATTTAGGGAAAGCCGGATAGCAACAACAAAAAATGTTTAAGCCAGGCACGGTGGCTCACACCTGTAATCCCAGCACTTTGGGAGGCCAAGGAGGGGGATCGCTTGAGTCCAAGAGTTTGAGACCAGCCTGGACAACATGGTGAAACCCCGTCTCTACAAAAAATACAAAAATTAGCCATGCTTGGTGGCTCATCATGCCTGTAGTCCCAGCTACTTGGGAGGCTGAGGCAGGAGGATCACTTAAGCCCAGAAGGCAGAGGCTGTAGTGAGTTGAGATCGCACCACTGCACTCCAGCCTGGGCAACACAGCAAAACCCTGTCTCAAAAAAAAAAAGTTTAAAAATATTGCCCGGCTCCTAGAATTTATTTATTTCCTGACTTACAGCAAGCGAGTTATCGCCTTCTGTATTTTGTAGACTTTCTAAATAAAGTCAAGTTCTTTTTCCACAGAGAATAAGTGTGTATCCTGGACTATCTTTGTTGGGGAGGGGTGTCTAGAATGGGTTTCTGCTTTGAACCCCTGGGGCCTCTGGTGGTGGGGAGGGCTGGTGCACATCACCAGCTGTTGCACAGGGTATGAGGTGGGGTGGAGACGGCTACAGAGACCAGCGGTGCTGAAACTTCGATGCTTCCTTTTGGTTGCTTAGAGCACAGGAGCTCCTGGGGAAAACAAAGCCATGAACACAGTGAAATTTAGAGCTACATTCTGGCGGAGCATGGTGGCTCACACCTGTAATCCCAGCACTTTGGGAGGCTGAAGCAAGAGGATCATTTGAGACTAGGAGTCCAAGATGAACCCGGGCAACACAGTGAGACCCCATCTCTACAACAAATAAAAAATAATTAGCCACGTATGGTGGTACACGTGCCTATTGTTCCAGCTACTGGAGAGGCTGGGGTGGGAGGATCACTTGAGGCCAGGAGTTTGAAACCAGTCTGGGCAACATAGCAAGACCCCCATCTCTACAAGAAATTTAAAAATAAGAAAACAGGCTGGGCACGGTGGCTCACACCTATAATCCCAGCACTCTGGGAGGCCGAGGCGGGTGGATCATTTGAGGTTAGGAGTTCAAGACTAGCCTGACCAACATGGTGAAACCCCATCTCTACTAAACATACAAAAAAAAAAAAAAAAAAAACACACTCGAGTGTGGTGGTGCACGTCTGTAGTCCCGACTACTCGGGAGGTTGAGACAGCAGAATTGCTTAAACCCGGGAAGCGGAGGTTGCAGTGAGCTGAGATCGCGCCACTGCACTCCAGCCTGGGTGACAGAGCGAGACTCCATCTCAAAAAAAAAAAAAAAATTAGCCATAGTGGTGTGGTTGAGCCCAGGAGTTCAAGGCTGCAGTGAGCTATGATTGTACCACTGCACAATCTAGGTGACAGAGACCCTGTCTCAAAAGAAATTTAGGGTTAAATTCCCGGGCATCCCTTTAGTGAACAGACACTCCCACCCAGAGAGGAAAAAACCCAGATTTCGGAGTCATTTTTCCAGCACTTTCACACTGAGGTCTGATTTTCTACAGGCAAGTAGAAACAATCTTCCCTATGTTTCAGAAGGCCCACGGAGGCAGAGTGGCTTTCCCAGCCCATCTGCAGACCTAAACCATAACCCTGTGTCTTGTCCTAGGCCTCAAACTCACTAATTTCAACCCAATCTGCCAGCCCTTCTGAGGCACCCTGAAGGAGCTAGTGGAGTGTACTGTGGTCTGTGGGTCACGGCAACTGGGGTTTGAATCTAGGTGTCTGTTCTTAGCTGTGGGATCTTTGGTACTTATTTGATTTCTCACAGCCTCAGTTTACCCATCTGTAAAATGAACATGCTATGGGGCATGAGGCATGAAAAACCCTGGGGACCCTGTGCTACAGGTTTTTTTTTTTTTTTTTTTGAGATGGAGTCTCGCTCTGTCGCCCAGGCTGGAGTGCAGTGGCGCGATCTCAGCTCACTGCAGCTCCCCTCCCAGGTTACGCCATTCTCCTGCCTCAGCCTCCCGAGTAGCAGGGCCTACTGGGCGCCCCCTGTGTGTTAGCTGAGATGCCTTTCTTAGTTTTTTTTTTTTTGAGATGGAGTCTCCCTCTGTCGCCCAGGCTGGAGTGCAGTGGCCGGATCTCAGCTCACTGCAAGCTCCACCTCCCAGGTTTACGCCATTCTCCTGCCTCAGCCTCCCGAGTAGCAGGGCCTACAGGCGCCCACCACTTTGCCCGGCTAGTTTTTCGTATTTTTTAGTAGAGACAGAGTTTCACCGTGTTAGCCAGGATGGTCTCAATCTGACCTCGTGATCCGCCCGTCTCGGCCTCCCAAAGTGCTGGGATCACAGGCTTGAGCCACCGCGCCCGGCCGGGCTGCAAGTTTTAACACTCAGAACACACATTTACAGTGGCACAGATTGAGGTGAGGTCAACTGTGGGGCTGGGTATGGGGCCGGTGGGGTAAGGCACCAGCTGTGCAAAGGTGCAGGATTTGAGTCCTGGAAAGGGCCAAATCGCATAGGTCGGACACGTCCACGGGGCTTTCTCCCCTTTCCAGGTTGGGGCTCGGTGCTTTCCCTGCCAAGACCATGACCCTGAAATACTGAGTTCAGTCCTGCGGGAAGGGCAGCAGGAAGCTGCGGGAGGACGCAGGACCCGCCTCGGGAGGCTGGCGGGAATTCCCCCACCCACGCTGCATTCCTGAGTGCTCCCGTCAGCAGCAAGCCAGGCCCTGAGAAGGCATGCAGTACCAGAGAGGCCAGGCACTGTGCCCACGGCCAGAGGCCCCCTGCCCCAGGGTCCCTGGCCCTGAGGGTCCCAGGGTGGAGGATGGGCCCAGAGATGCAGGAAGCTTGTCTGGAAAGGGGATCCCAGGAAATCCTGGGAGAAGCCTGCAGGAGCGGGGGGCTGCCAGCATGTGGGCCCCATCGACCTGGTTGACCAAACAGGGAAGGAGCATTGACCACCTGCAGCCCGGCTGTCTGTCCTGGGGTGGGAGCTTCCTGGGGGCTGGGGAGACCCTTTGTCCGAGGGAGGCCTGGGCCTTGACCTTCCCGGTCAATCTGAACCCCCATCACTTAAAGGTTACACACAGGAAGGAGAGGGTTTCCTAAGCCGCCCCTGTCCACAGCCACTACACCCACTCCAAACCCAACACAGGGGGCAGGGAGGAGGAAGGAAAAACCTCACCCACATGCAGAGATTTCAATACAATCTATATTATCTCATATATATATTCTTCCTCACTTTATTTGCTCACTTCTGTCACGCATTTAAAATGTCACAGAGACCAAAATAGAGTGGCTTTCTGGTGGAACTCATGGCAGTCATACAACAAGATACAAAACTAGGAGACTCTGTCTTCTCATACATCATACAATTAATTTTTCAAGTATTCCTTATGTACAAAGAGCTACTCTATCTGGAAAGAAAATTAAAAAAAAAAAAAAAAAAAAAAGACAAGGTAGGTTATGCATCCTAAGGAGGAGGAGGGGATGGAGCGGTTGGGCACGTGTTCCCATTCCCATGACCCCAGGGACCGCTGATTCCCTACCACTGAGCTCCCCCCACCCCCACCCTCCACGCAAACAGCAACGCTGGGGCAGGTGATGACCAAGGGGGTGGGAGTCAGCAGCACACTTTGGCCTGGAGGGAGAAGGGAAGCTACGTCGGAGACAGCTTGGTGAAAGCAGACGGCAGGGGCAGGGCCAGGGCTGGTCCTCAGCCTGTGTCTGCACCCACCTTCCCGGGTCAGGCCCCCCAAGACGGAGGGGGAGAGCTGGCCTCTGGCACCCACATGCAGGCCTCTGCCACAAGGGAAGGAAGGAGGCCAGGAAGACAGCCAGGCCCCGACTCTCCTCACAGGTGGCAGGGAGGGAACCTGTTCATTCCAGGAAGGACCAAAAGAAAGAATCCCCAGTGAACACCGGCAGGGTCCCTCTCCCTTACCCTACCAGCTTCTTGAGGCCACTGCAGCCCAAACCCAGGGATAATCTGGGTTTTAGATGCCAGGACACTTTGCCTGTAGGGACATGTGTTGTGACACCAGGCTCTTCCTAAGTCAGGAGCTGGTATAAGCCCAGCCTGCTGGGGGCTCCGGCTCCGGAGGCCCCAGGTCTAGAGGTGTGGAGGGGGAGAGGAGGGGCTTGGTGGTCCTGAACACTCCTGAGGCCTGTCTGAGGGCTCTGGGCCCAGCACTGCAGGATCCTGTGAGCGCCAGCAGCTGAACGAGCCCCAGGGAGCATGTGGGACAGACAGGGAGCCAGAGAGGGGCGCTTTCATATGTGACTAAGGCACAGAAGAGATGGGCCAGGGGCCGGATGGGGCAGAACACCAGGCCCTGTGTAGATGGGGGCCCCGAGAGGAGTCTGGGACCATTCCCCCACCTCTCAGCTCCCCACCGTGTGGCCACCCCTCCCAGCCTCCCTGCCAGACTGCCTTCCCCCGGAAGCTGGTCTGAAACATGGAGACTCAGACCTTTCCCCTGAAATGGGAGGGAGAAGCCCCAGAGAGAGAGAGGACCCAGCATCAGCCTGGGAGGGAGGGCTGGGAGCCCCTGAACCCTGGAGCAGCCAGGAAGCAAGGGCTCTGCCCAAAGCTATTGAGGAAGGACCCAGGTGAGCCGGCAGTGCGGGCTGTGGGCTGTCCTTGGTAGGCCAGGGGGAAGGGGCATGAGGCAGGCAGAGGTGTGGCCATGACGGGCGGGGACACCCAGGGGCCAGAAGCCCCTGCTTCAACAGAAGTGGTGCCCAGAGGCCCGTGAATGCCCTTTCTGGGTGGGGCCTGTGACTCCTGGTGTCTGGCTCTGATCCTTGCAGCATGCCAGGGAGGTCAGGAGGGGAGGACCACAGAGTGCCCACATCCCCGCTCCTGCCCAGGGTGAGGTGAATCTAGCACTGGACAAAGGTGGACAGGGGAGGGATGCAGGCGGGAAGAGCCCAGGTCAGACAGGGTATTGCACGGTGTGTGTGGGGGCCACGGCTTGCCGACCTCAGCCTGAGAGTCTCGCGGGGAGAAGGGGCTAGAAGGCTGCAGCCGCTGGTCCACACACAAGCATTGGGGCCTGGGCGCGGCTGGTCCCAGCATGCCCCCAGCACAGGATGGGCAGCAGGGGCATGAGCCTTGCTCCCAGTGTCCTCTGCCCTCGCCCGGGCAGTGCAGGCTGGGCCGTGTATAAATATTCCTGAAGGCCCATGGGCGAGCCTGGCTGTCCCCGTGTCCTCTGGAAGTGACATGTGTTTCTGGTCCAATAAATAAATGGTGGCGTGAGTGCTGTGCCAGCTGCCTCCTGGCCTGGTGGTGTGGCTGGAGGTGGGGCACAGCCTGACCATGGCTACGGCACCAGCACTTCTGCCACCACAGCCCGCACCTAGAACTCATCATCAGAGCTGAGCAGGAGAGTCTTCTCGTTGTCGCGGGCGCCACTGAGGCTGTGGGAGCGGGAGAGGCCATGGGCGCCACCACGCCAGGCGGGCCCAGGCTCCAGGGTGGAGTGCTGCGTGTACTGCTGGTAGGCGGGTGAGAAGTTGTGGATGGCGTCCTGCACGATGTCGTGCGGGCTCATGGTCTCCTTGAGGCTGCTGGAGATGCTCTTCATGGGGGCGCAGCGGCCTGCCGGGCAGGGGGCGGGAGGGGCGGGTGAGGAGGCTGCTCAGCCCCTGCCTGTGATCCTGGGACAGACCCCCCCTAGCCCAAAGCTGTGCCCTTCCACCACCCCTTCTGGGACAGAGAATCGGGTCCAGGATATGAAAAGGGGCAGGAAAAAATGGACTCCTTTGGCTGAGGAGCCCCAAGGGGAGGCTCAACTGTGAAGAGGAGCAGATGTAACCCCCCACTGGAGCCAGGCCGGCTGGGGGAGGGACCGAGGCTAGAGACTGGCGAGCTATGGGCAGTGAGCCTGGAATGCCCCAGAGAGGCCAGGGCAGGCTCAACCGACTGAAGTCGGGGCATGTGGGGCCAGAGGGCCTGGAAGCCGGGGTGCCCTGTTCCACAGGCACCAGAGGCGTCCCCCACCACCTGGGGAAGTGCTGTGCTCCCTCCACGCTGAAGAGTGGGCCAGGGGCTGGCCCCATCAGGACTAGGCTGGCCTGCACCCCCAGGGCAGCAGATGCGACTCACTGGCTCCCTCTAAGAGGGCTTCCTCCTCATCTCCTCTAATCAATCGTCCCATCCTCACGGGCTCAGAGGGGAAAAGCAGCCCAGGAAACAAAACCTGGATGTAAGGGGCAAGCCTAACTCCAGAACCCAGGATTCCTGACTCAGCTTGTGAACTCTTGGAAACATCGTGAAATGCCCCGATATCCCATGAAGAGCACGGTGACCCCAGACGAGGGCGGGGCATATTCCAGAATGAGAGACCAGGACGGAAGCAGGCAAGCTCTACAGAGGGTGGCCCTTGGCAGGTGCTCTGGGCATTCCCACCCAGGGGTGCCAGTGGGGAGATGAGAACACAGAGGAGCTACAGAGAGAGGCATGCCAGTGACAGTGACCAGAACTGACGTGCAGGACAGACATGCAGACCAAGAGCGGGACCTACCGTAAGGGCCGTATGTTGGCACTGCCCACGGCCAAACCCCGGGCAAAAGCAGGGCAAGGGGGGTGGGGAGAGAAGCCGAAGAAATAGAGAAGACAAGAGACAGCTGAGTGAACAATGTGTGCCCATCACCGAGGCCCACCAGCATGACATACCACACACCCTGCCCCCGCCCCTCTAGGCCCCCACAGGGCACCCAGGAAGCTCCAGGTGCCTCCTGGGGCTTGGCAGGGGGGATATCCACCTAGTGATGACTCCTCCCCTGGTGTTCACGCCAACAGGAAACATCCGCCTGGCGGCTGAGTTCCGCCTCCACGTCTAGGTCAGGACGTCCCATCCCCACTTCTTCCCAGGCTAGCCTGGGGCCACATCTGCACCTCATATTTTACAAACCTCACAACACTTCCCAGACCAGGACATGGCGGCTCGGAGGGAGGGGTTACGATCGCACAGCTGAGCCAGATCTGCACCCAAGCCTATCCTGAGGGCTAAGGGTCTGCGCCTGGGTTAGAGGGTAGCAAGGGGCTCAGGACCAGTGCGGAGGCAGAGAAGGGCAAGCGGCTTCCCCGGCCGGATGCGGGTATGTCTAGGAGCGGTGTGTGGAGGGACAGCTCAGGCTGGGCGGCAGAGACCCAATGGGGCAGGAATGGTTCTTTGCCGTGCCCCCCCTTGCCCCTTGGGGTGGCCCCAGGCCCCAGGCCCCAGGACGATGTTCCTACGGGCACAGGGTATGCCAGACCAGGTCTAAGGGACATTGCCCTCAATGCTGGGTGGGTGTTTGCTAGGTCCTTCCAACTGGGCCATCAGCTGGCAAGCCCTGGCCTTTGTGCGCCTGCTCTTTGGGCCATAGAGTAGGTCTTCCCTGACCAGGGAAGGCACAGAGGAAGGGGGGTGGGAAGGAAGGGGAGCCCCGCTGCAGGCAGACATTTCTACACTCACACTACCCACCACGGAGCCTGTGTGGGCCTGCAGGTAGGCCCTGGGGAAGTGGGTTTCTTGCCTCCAGCCACTTGGGCAGACAGCTGGCAGCAGCCAGGCTCCTGGGTAGATGTGTCAGAGAAGGAGGCTCCCCTCTCCCCAGTTCCTCCTGCCCCTTCACTGGCTCAGTCATTCTCAGGCCTTCCCAGCCTCCTCTTCCCCATCCTCCAAGGACAAGCCCCTTTGCCCAGTGGCCAGAGGCAGCCCTTCCGGCCCACTGGAGCGTCTCGGCAGCAGCACATTCACACCACCCTGGGAGTGCTTAAAGCACAGAACTCAGAGCACACAGCCTGCCAGCCCAGACCCATTACAGCGGCATCTCCGAGGGTGGGGCTGGTATGAGCCCTTTCAAAAGCTCTCCAGGGCATTTTCCAGTACAACTGGGGCCACTTACCACCGTTCTAGCAAGAAGGAAGATTCGCAGGTGTAAAAGAAAGCTGTTAAAACCTATTACCATCCGAGTCTGTTTCTCAGAAATATTCTTTTTTTAAAACATAGTATATGAGATGAGGGAATTACAGGACAAAATGGTAACCACAGTGTTGGGTGTCAGAAGCCCGAGGGAATTTGTCTATTCATTACAGTCTCTGTCTGTATGATCCCTGGGTCTCCACACTTGGATCTGCTGCAAGAGACAGGTGGCCTGAGCTTCCAGGACCGAATCCATAGTGCTGGTGGCACCTGCTCTTCCCCGACCTCTGTGGCCCCATTTCTGCACATAGAGTCGGGATCCCATGTCCTGACCCAGCCGCACCTGTAGGATGCTGGGAGGTGGGAGGGCCCTGGGATGTTTGGGGCTCCCTGTTTCTCCCAGTGGGGGTCACCTAGGACCCTGGCTCATACCTTGTGCGTCCAGTCTCTTGTCAGCATAGACCTTGTAGGTGAAGGCGTGCCGCAGGGCCAGGGCTGCAAAGAACATCTCCACACAGATGATGAAGTCCTGGTAGCCAGCAGCCACAGTGCCCTCACCCACCGACACGCGGGCCGAGTGGATTTTGGGGATGGCCCCACACTTCTCCAGGATGGCCAGGAGCATGCCTGGATAAGGAGGCATGGGTGTCTGGACCCAGACTGGTCCCCTTCCTGGTCCCCCATCTTCCACAATGCCCCACTCAGCTACCCACACACCCCAGTAAGGATGTAAGCAGGGCCACAGCTGCTCCTGTAGGGCAGGAGTAGCGACACAAGGCCACAGCCTCCGGAAACCCTGCTCTCCCAGCTCTTTGCCAGCCACCAAAACTGAGATGTCAGCGATTTCACAGGGTCTCCTAGGCCCTCCCATCCATGTAGCGGCCCCGACAAATCTCCCCCATCCCCTGGGAAAGGCCCCTGAGGGCTCAGATTTCACCCCCAGCAAGTGCCCAGTGGGCTGAGGCCCCTCTGAACAGGCCCCGCGGGCACCAGGGACCATAAGCAGAAGGGGCAGCAGGAAGCACAGAGGACAGGGCAGCATGGGCAGCCTCGAGGCGCTGGGAGGGGGCTCACCTTGCCAGAAAGAGAGAAAGATGACAGACTTGACCATGAAGAACTTGAGGACGGGGCTGTAGGGACTGAGCAGCTCCCGGGTGGCAAAGTAGAAGAGGAAGAGGGCGTAGAGGGCCAGGCTGACGGAGATGTTGTAGATGATGGTCACGTAGAGGTAGCCGCTTGTGACGCTGCAGGACGGGGAGCATTTTCTGGCTGGGACAGACCCTTGGAGGGAAGGGGCTCTCCTCGACTGTACCACACACAGTCCCCATGGCTCTTAGCCCCACATGTCCAGCAGAGCTCAAAGAGCCACTGAAGGGGACAGAGGGGGTGATCAAAGCGACAGACAGGGGTGGGAGTGTACGGGGTGCGTCTGCAGGCCAGACCAGCTCTGCTGCCTCTGCGTGACTCATGGACTTGTCTACGCCCTGGTGCCCACACTCCTAACACTGGACACCAGTGTGGAAGCCAGGGCTGAGCTGGAGGCCATAGCCTGACAGGCAGATAACAGGCGTCAAAGTGGGTGGCGCTGCTTAGCTCTGCTGCCTTTTCACTTGGTCGGATGCATCCCCCTGACCTCCCTTTGCTCACCTGTGGTAGGGCTGTTGTGCAGTTTACAGACAGTGTGTGCCAAGTGCTTCAAAGCACAGGGCTAGACACATGGTCACTTTTTTTTTTTTTGAGAGACGGAGTTTTGTTCTTGTCACCCAAGCTGGAGTGCAATGGCATGATCTCGGCTCACCACAACCTCTGTCTCTTGGGTTCTAGCGATTCTCCTGCCTCAGCCTCCCGAGTAGCTGGGATTACAGGCACCCCGTTACCATGCCCGGTTAATTTTTTGTATTTTTAGTAGAGACGGGGTTTCACCATGTTGGCCAGGCTGGTCTTGAACTCCTGACCTCAGGTGATCCACCAGCATTGGCCTCCCAAAGTGCTGGGATTACAGGCGTGAGGCACCGTGCCCAGCCACATGGTCATTTTCACTAAGCCCAGAATGAAATGCGTGTGGTCAATTTACACAGCAGGGGCTTATGTACCTGTGGACTTGAGCCGACCTCTTGGGGCTCTGACCCTCTCGCTCCCTGCCTCAGCAGTGGTCACTGTCCCTTTGTGGCCCATCCCTTCGCGGTACCACTCTGCAACCTGGACGTGAATGTGACTGCTGCCAATGGTTCACTCCTGGGCCGGCAGCGGGGCCAACTGCCAGGGTGTCCACTGCTGGGCTCGGACTTCAGGGGGGCGTGAGCACCAGGCACCCAGGAAGGTCACGGCTGTGCAGCCACTCTGGCCACCCCCTTCCCTCAGCCAAGGCACCAGCCTGTGCCAACACTCCTCCCACACAGCCCGGGGAGCACCCGCTGCTTACTCAAAGTCCCCATCCCGGTACTTGCCGAAGGCCTGGAGGACCACAGTGCTGACCGCCATAAGTGGCTTCACCACACAGAACTGCAGGGTGGCCTGTCGGGGGGAAAAGGAGGTTGAGTGTGGAGGAGGAACGCAGAAGGCATGAAGCAAGCTCTGCTTCTGGCAGCCAGAACTGTGCCGGATGGAGGGACAGAGAGGATGAAGGGGACGGAGGGGACGGAGGGGACGGAGGGACGGAGGGGTTGGAGGGACGAAGGGATGGAGGGGATGGAAGGATGGAAGGATAGAGGAGATGGGGGGGATGGGGGGATGGCTCTGTGTCCTGCTCCCAGGGGACTGCTGTCTGCATGGGGCAGAGGGCAGAACATGTAGGAGATGCAGCCCACGCAATGCCGTGTGTGAGATGAGCATGTGGAGGAAGGAAGGAACAGCGTGGCAGGGTATGATGGAGGCGGGGGACAGGAGATGCACACAAGGAAGCTTGTCGAGCCAGGACCATCAGGAGGGTGCTGGAGACGAAAGGTTCGACAGGCAGAGGGGGCAGCTTGCACCAAGGCCCCGAGGTAGAGGGTGGACAAGTGCAAGGGGCTGTGCACTGGAGAGATGGCCGAGGAAATGGACAGGGCCAGGTCCTAGAGACCTTGGTGCCTGGAGCAAGGCTGGGGCCCCGCTCAAGGAACCAGCCACCGCGTAGCCGGCACAGGTGAGGGCCTCCTCCCATCCTCCAGGTCCATCCCCTGTCCGGTTCCTGGCCCCACTCTCTGGATCTGGGTCCAGGGTTTCTGGTGAGCACAGGTCACTCTGGGGATGGAGGTGACTCAGGAAATGTAGCCCCAGAGCACGTGGGCTCCACAGTCTCGAAATCTGAGTTTGAACTCTGGGGACAGCTTGGGCAGTCACTTGGCCTCTGAGCACAGACTCCCTGGTGAAAAGGACGTAGTCACTCCCCACACCACAGGGCCACTGCTACGGGGTGGCACAGCCAGGAAGCGCAGTGTCTTCTCGGGAGTGTCCCGCCTCTGTGCATGCACTAACGGCGCCTGCTAGTTGGCTCAGCCACGGAAAGAATTCCTCAGCCAGGTTTTCCCGATTCCCTACGGGAGGACCCGTGGTGCCCATAACATCACTAGTATCACCATTATCTTGAAAGCAAATAAATCTAAGCCCTAAGGCCCCTCCTGAGGAGCTGGGGGGTGGTTAAATCCAATCCAAAAGGCTCAGCTAGTGTAGCTGAAAAAAGGACTAGGAGCCTGGAGCGGGAACAGTGATCTGTGGAAACTGCAGCTTCTGCCCCAACCAGGGATCTGAGCCAGGCTTGCAGGGGAGCCCCAGGCAGCCCGCACCATGGGGCTGCCATACGGAGGGGCGTGTGTGATGGGGCAGACGTGTAGTCCCACTCTCAGAAAGCCCCAAAGAACGTCCCTGGCCCTGTCATCCCGCCTAGAAGAAGTGGGACTGGCACCTTCTGGGGAAAAGGGAAGAGCGGCAGTTTGCGTGAGTTCTAGTTATGAGCCTGGGAAAAGGGAAGAGCGGCAGTATGAGTGAATTCTAGTTATGAGCCTGGCAGCAGGCTGGTGCTTCCCTGGGTCAGTTCACCTAGTACTCATGACAGCCCCCTGATGTGGGTGCTATCATTATCCTCACGGTACAGATGAGGAAACTGAGGCACAGAGAAGCTGAAGCAGCAGAAGCAGAGCCCAGGCCAGTAGGCCCCAGAATCATCACCTCACCATACCCTGGACCAGTCAGCAGTTCCCAGGCTGGGCTGGACATCAGAACCCCCCGGGGAGTTTTAGACACGTGCCAGGTTCCAGGGCTCCATTCCAGAGCTTCTCCTGCGGGCTAGGGCAGTGAGTGGTGATGGGGAATCTCTGCTTTAAGTAGGGCATCTCTCCAGAAGATCTGGATGTTGAGCGCTGGCCCTGAGGAGTCGAAGGCCCGTCTCTGTGCGCCCAGGACAAAGCTGTGGGGTGTGCTCTCTCGCCTTCGTAAAGGAAGGAAGAGGCCTCTTTTGTTCTCTTACTTCTTGCATCTCTCCCTGCCACCGTCAGGAACAAGAGCAGAACGTCTGAGCCCACAGGGCTGGGGAATCATTTCGAACAAGGCCACCCGAGCTAACAATCATGAAATCAAAACTTTGTAGACAATATAATCGTCAAACGAGGCGGTGAGTCACAGCTGGCCGGAACCTGGGTGGCTGCACCAACTGGTAAACAATGGCTCTCAATGCCCCACCCTGAACCCAGGATAGTTTTAACTCTTTCCCCGCAGGTCCGGTGGTGAGATTCTGAATTTAGGAACATGCTAAGGAAGGAAGGTCTGGAAGCAGAACTGGAGACTTGGCATGGCCAGGCAGAGGCTTTGTGGGTGTGCCCGCCTTGTGGCCTGGGCCCTGCACAGAAGGGAGCAGCAGGCCCTGCCCTCCCTGCCCAAGCCACAGTGACTTGGCTGTGGGTTTCGTATCCTTTCGTGACTACTCTTGGTGAAGCTGGAGAGGCTGACATGACAGAGCCCCTACAGAGCCCCAGAGGAGACGAGGTCATGAAGACTGGGCGTGATCCCCTCCGACTCTGCCTCCCTGAACAGGAGGTCGTGGGCTCCGCCACACCGGGCTGAAAGCTCTACATCCATGACCTCATCTGATCCTCACAACCATCTCTCGAGAGGAGTATCATTACACTCATTTTACAGTGGAGGAAACTAAAGCTCAGAGAGGGTGAGCCAATTATCCAAGGTCACACAGTCAGAAGAAAAGCTGGAAATCAGGCTCGGATGGTCAGACACCCAGGCCCACACACTGAGTGACCCCACCACACTGCCTCCGCCCAGGTTACTCTAGACCACACGGAGGTCAGCCCAGGAAGCTAGAGCGGCTGGACTGCCAACCAGGAAATGCAGGGAGAGATGGCACAGGCCTGTTCTAGCGTGTGTCTTTAATGCCAAAACCCTCCTGCCCCCTAGCTGTAGCTGATGAGAAGTTTTCAAATGGAGGTTCTAGAATCCCCATGCACCACTTCTGATTCTCACACACACCAAGACTTGGTCACACGAGCAAGAGTCTGGGCTCAGCTCTTGCCCACAATGCAGCAGACACTCCCAGGATGCCGGTCACTGCCCCTCCAAGCACACCCTGCTAATGTGGTGCCCGCCTAACAGCTTCGGGGGCTGGGTGCTGGGGGTCTGGGGGGGCCTCATAGGAAAGGGAACCTCTTCAGGTGGGGCCCAGGGCAGCCCAGGGCAGGGTTTCCCAGTCCCCACCCTGCTCCTCCTGACCTAGGCAGCTGCTGGGGGCACACACCTGTTTGCAGAACCGCAGAAACCCGATGGAGTAAGTCTTTCCCCAGAGGCAGCAGGTGCCATACACACAGCTGGACCTGGAGGAGACAAGCATGGGAGGCAGCAGCGGTGAGTGAAGAGCCAGGACTTAGGAACGGTGGGGTGGGGAAGGCCGCCCTCCCATCCACCCAGAGGAGCTGGGGCACACATCCCGGGCAGACTTTGAACCCGAGGCCAAGCACAGGGAGAGGTATGGCAGGGCATCTGCATGTGCCATAGGCGGAGGGACACAGGGCTGCACTGGCCCTGGGGTGACAAACCAACTTGGAAAGCTCTGAATGTAAAAACTGCAGGAGGCAGAAACAGACAGGAAAGCACTAAGACTGAGACCGGAAGAGAGAGAGAGAGAATGAGCCGCAGAGGCCCTCCTAAACGCCAAGAAGAATGAATGGCTCAGGAAATGTGGCGAGGCACAGCAGGTCAAGGTCACGGGCAGAGATGGTCTGTGTCCAGCTGGTGCCAGGACAGCTCCAGGTACACAAGGCCCAGGAAACGGGGTGGTGTAGGGCTCCAGGAAGACTCCATACTCACTCAATGGGTTTTCCTCTGATCTCCGACATGATGGAACTTTCTCCTCCTAGGTACTCATAGCACAGGCTCAGGAAATTATAGATGACCAAGGCTGCGAAAACAGTGTCCAGGGGAAACCAGTCAAATCAGCAGAATGGGTCCACAGATGCTGGGATTCTAAACGGCAATGGAGGTGAAAGAGCCACAGCCATGCGTGGCAACAGGGAGGAGCCTGGGGGACATAAGGTTGTGCAAAAGGAGCCTGTCAAGAACGCACACAGCTGACCTTCCGCTCCTAAGTTCAAATCCCAGCACACCTAAATTATCTTACCCAGGGATGCACCCCTACACTGGCGTAATACTACAAAGGGAAGCAAGGAAGGGACTGCCGTGAGTTCAGGGTTATGTGGGGAGGCCGGAGAAGGCTGAGATAAGGGTGGGCACTCAGGAGGTTTGGGAGGGCTGGCAGTGTCGACCCTGGGGGGAAGCGGTACTGGCTTTATTAGTTTTTCCAGGCGCAGTGGCACGTGCCTGTGGTCCCAGCTACTGCTGAGGCAGGAGGACGGCTTGAGTCTGGGCGTTCTGGGCTGTAGTGTGCTATGTCGATCTGGTGTCTGCACCGAGACTGGTAGTAGTATGGTGATCTCCTGGGAGTGGGGGATCACCAAGTTGCCTAAGGAGGGGTGAACCAGCCCGGGCTGGAAACAAAGCAAGTGCAACTCCAGAGTGGGATCGCACCTCTGAATGGCCACTGCACTCCAGCCTGGGCAACATAGCGAGACCTCATCTCTAATGTATTTATAAGTAAATATTTGTCTTACATACTTGTGTGTTATAGATCACAATTTTATAAGATAACCACAAAACAGTCTTTATGAAAATCTTGGGAGAAATTGCAAGCAGGAATGAGAGCGCAGAACCTTCATCCAGTCAACAACCTGTAGCGGTATCCGGAATACACACAGCACTATGAGCTACGACAAAGCACACAAGCAGCACAGAACACAGTGCAGAAACCTCGGCAAGCTTAGGCTGCTCATTCTATTTTTTTTTTTTTTTTTGAGACGGAGTCTCGCTCTGTCGCCCAGGCTGGAGTGCAGTGGCGCGATCTCGGCTCACTGCAAGCTCCGCCTCCCGGGTTCACGCCATTCTCCTGCCTCAGCCTCCCGGGTAGCTGGGACTACAGGCGCCCACAACCGCGCCCGGCTAATTTTTTGTATTTTTGGTAGAGACGGGGTTTCACCGTGGTCTCGATCTCCTGACCTTGTGATCCGCCCGCCTCGGCCTCCCAAAGTGCTGGGATTACAGGCGTGAGCCACCGCGCCCGGCAGGCTGCTCATTCTAAATTGGGACTCGGCTCAACATCTCCACAAAGACCCAAAATTTGCCACAGGGAGTGATGGCACAGCACGTCTGCTGTAAATGTGGATGCTATAAATACAGCAACACGCTGTAACGGGTCTCCTGGTCAGCGGGTTTCTGCTGGGTCAGCAAAATGAAGGCTGCTGCCTACAGGGTGCTAGAGGCAAATGGATATACCAGGATGGAGGAGAGCATGGAGAAGAGGAAGAGGGGTGCAGCAGAGGGTACCCAAAAGGAACGAACGCAAGAGGAAGAGCCAGAGCGAGGACATGGGAATGAGGATGGGCATCCAGCAAAGGCACAAAGCCAAGGGGAGGGGCAGAACAGGGTGAGGGGAACAGGTCGAGGGAGCCACAGTGGCCCTGCAGCCAGAGGGCTCCTTCTCATCCCATCCCGCCAGCCCCTGCAGCATAAAGTCCTTTAAGGCTCCCTGGTGCTGCCCAGCTTGGCACTTGGTCTTTCAATGGGTGACCTGGTCCCTGCCCATGCTCCCGCCACTCCCGAGCAGCACTAATGCTGCGCTTCTCCCCAGAGCAGGTTCTCTACCCTTCGGTGCTTCTGCACTCCCAGATCCCAGAGGCTCCAGAGCCCTTCCCGCTGTGCTCTCAGGATCCATTAACCCCCGCTGGACAGCACCCAGTGTGACAAGTCCCCGGTGACCATTGTGGAATTGAGTGCCCTCCTACCCATGGAACCTGATTTGCAGACACTTCCCAGTGCTTCCCACCCTGTGTCATAATGACTGTCTCCTCCTCTCCTTCCTCAGGACACAGGCGCCACTGGTGGCACACACGGGGCACACCACAACTGTTTCACTGACTGAACTGGGGCGTGGAAAGCCCTGGTGATGCTTTTTAGGCAAAGCTGGCCTTCAGCAATTTGGAAAGGAACATATTTGCGGCATTTTACGCGACTCACGGTTGCCCTAACCCATTAAGCGCTCCCATCTCCAGGTGACATCCACATATAATATCCATGAAGAAACAGATGGTTATTTTACACTAGTGTGTTTTAGTAGTAATTATTTGCACAGCCATGTAAGTAGAATACAGATAAAACCATGACTGAAGCTCCTCCCTATATGTCTGTCCCCCAGCGCTGACTATGCCTTGTTGTCACTGTCCCTTTGCCCTTCACACACATACAGCAGAGGTATGCGATGTGTGTGAGCCTCTTTGGGTTCAGTTTCCTCATCTATCAAAGGGGATCACAGGAGCACCAACTTGGCAGGTGGCTGTGAAGCGTGAGCATCAAAGTGCTCAGAAGTGTGTCCGGGGCGCGCTGTGCTGGGTGTTGGCTGTCACGACCATTACTGTCTATGTGCTGCCTGCAGGGCCAGGAGCCCCTGGACAGGGCTGAGGGCCGTGTGTACTGCCTGCCTGTGCTGGAGGCAGCTCAGGATGTCTCAGGACAGACGAGTCTCCACCAATCTCCAGATGACTCTTCACTAGCAAGAACTATGGAGCGAAGGGAAAGGGGTGGGCATTAAGCCAAATGTGGTATCAACCTGTCAGTAACCTCTGTTCAAAACCTCACAAGGCCAAGCACAATGACAGTGTCCATTCTAAGCCGGGTCCAGCTATATCATGACAGTTGTATTTTCTTTTTTGTTTGTCTGGGTTTTGTTTTTTATTTTTTTGAGACAGAGTCTCGCTCTGTTGCCCAGGCTGGAGTGCAGTGGTGCGACCTTGGCTCACTGCAACCTCCACCTCCAGGGTTCAAGCGATTCTCCTGCCTCAGCCTCCCAAGTAACTGGGATTACAGGCATGCGCCACCACACGCAGCTAATTTTGTATTTTTAGTAGAGACAGGGTTTCACCATGTTGGCCAGGGTGGTCTCGAACTTCCGACCTCAGGTGATCTGCCCACCTCAGCCTCCCAAAGTGCTGGGATTACAGGAGTGAGCCACCGTGCCCGGCCGACGGTTGCATTTTCTAAAGATTGCCACAGCCCGTGATGCTGACACCCCACCTCTGAGAGGTGGGGGTCCTGTACCCTCCCTTTGCATTTGGTGGACCTGAGTGACTAAAGCCAAAGTGATGTTTCATGACATCTGATGTAGGGGTTAGAAAAGGCCTCTTTCCTCTGGCTCTTCCTTGAGTGCCTATCCTTGCACCCAACCACCATGCAGGGGGGAAGCACGAGCTAGCCTTTGGAGACACTGCACAGAGAGGCTCATGTGAGGGAACCGAGGCCTTCAGCTGACAGCCAGCATCAACTGCCAAGCACACAAGGGAGCAAGCCTTCAGGTGGTCTGCCCCGGCCTTCACACTCTCCTGCCAAAGCCCAGAGGTCACGGAGCAGGGACGAACTACCTCCCCCACGCCCAGTCCAAATTCTTGCCCTATAATATCCGTGAAGAAATTGGATGGTTGTTTTACACTTGTGTGTTTTGGCAGTAGGTATCTGCACAGCCATGGTAAGTGGAATACAGATAAAACCACAACTGAAGCTCCTGGCTCGTGCAGTGACCGCTCACGCCTGCATGCAACGGTACATTCTAGTCCCTCTGCTCACCCCAGAGGCAGACCCTGCTGAGATGCCGCCTGTTCTGTCCTGCAGCCCGCTGACTTCACTACCACCCCTCTCTGGGCTCTGCCTGATCCTTCTGGCACAAAAGCAGCATCAAGTAAGGTAAAGAGCCATGGGCCCTGGAGCCAGCCTGTCTTGGTGTGGACTGTGGTCCCACCCCTTAGGAGCTGTGTGGCCTCAGGCAAGTGTCTTAAGCGCTCCATGCCTGAATTTCCTCATTTGTAAGCGGGATAACTCCTTCCTTGGTGGGGTGAGGGGCTGTGAATGTGCAGAGCCTTAGATGAGCTGAGCGCACAGGCAAGAGTCCACGGTGTTGCCTACTGCTTTTTCCAGACCGTAAACTCCTTGCAGGTAGAATGCAGTCCTACCTCCAAAGACTACCGAGGGCCTGGCAGCTACAAACGCAATCAACACTGAAGGAAGGAACGGACAGACGTACATGGGCCATCTCCCCAGGGGAGCCTGCCATGACAACAGGCTCAGGCAGGGCAGGAGGGGACACCCCACTCTTACTCCAACACTGGAGGAGCTCCTCTCAGAGGCTAGCTCCAAGATCATCAGCTTTCCAGTCTCTAATGACAAAACCCTCCAGGGAAGCCACAGGGGTCCCAGGCCCATGAGCCCCCTCTATCTGGAAGCTCCCTCCCGGGCGAGCCCATCCCTGCAGTCCTCTCCCGAGAAAGGCCTGGCACCTGGGCTCATGTCCTTTCCTGCATCAAAACACACGTTAGCAGTCAGCACACTTTTGAATGACGTGGCCGGGGTCCATCCGTAACCGGCTCTGCATACAACTGATCAGAATTGTCAAATGTCATCGTCTCTCTCAGTTCAAGATTCTTGACCTTTTGGAGGTGCTCTGGGGCCAGCTAGTCTATAAAATACCAATTTACTGACAGCTCCTTTTAAAGAATCATTAGTGAGTCGATAATTGACTCCCTAATTCTTGGAGAAGATGAGACAGAATCTCCTTAGACGTGACGCAACCGGCCCAAGCTCGGCCCCACTGACCAACTAGACGCATCAGTTTCCCTCCTGGAAAGTACAGAGCCATGTGAACCACCACCTCCATCATCCCAGCAAAAGTGTTTAAATGGAAAACTCAACACATCCCCTGGAAACAAACACAAAGATGTGTGCCCTGGATGTAAGAAGAGCGGAGAAGCTGAGGTGGGGCTGGAGGGAGGGTGCTTGGCCGGGAAGCTCACTGCCCACCGCCCT